AGGGGAAATCGTGGGCTCTGCCGTTTGAAGACGGGAATTATGCTGGGCAACAGGAAGACGCGAAACTCTCATCGCCTTTCTTAGTTTACACGGAAAACAAAGACTGTAGTTTCCCCGCCAAGAGAAGGGACTTCGAGTGAGAAATGACCGCCTTCGAGAGCGCAGCACAAGCGCACAGAGTCAACAAGGAGAACAATTTTAAAATGACACTTGAAAAGCATCATGAAAAACGAGAGGATTTAAGCAGAAAAGAAAAGAAGACGCTTTAGGAGACGATCACACAGGTAACGGACCGAAAGGAAGAGAAACTTATTGGGAGCGAAGAAAGAAAAATAATGCTTCGGCGAAAAAGTCAAGGGACGCGAGAAAAACCTGAGAACTGCAAACACAAACAAAGGCAGCTTTCCTTGAGAAAGAGAACCTGAGAATACATGCACAACTTATGATTATGCGTGTTTAAAACGAGTTTTATGCGCCAAAATGAAAAGAACGTTGTGACTGTAGACATTTGTGTTTGTAAACAGTACTAGCAGCCTCGGAAACTCGTTCATCCTTGAGGGTTTTCTCTGAAAATACGCAAAAATAGTGTCTTATTTTTGATTAAAAATAGTTTTTGTCCCTAATATGATTATGTACTTGAATATGAGTATGCATGTGACCTTTCATGGTACAGGGATCCTTGGTCATTTGATTTGTTAATTTGAGTTGAATATTTGCACGTCGTGTTGTCTTCAAAATGCAATAAATTGAAATACTTTGTATGATGAAGGAATTTGTTATTAAACAGTTGAGAATAAGTCCTCGGGCGACTTATTGTTGAAGTTTTTATTCTACTGTGACGCTCTATAAGCCCTGTTACACAATCCTCTTGCGTGACGAGTCTTAAAACTGTCTACGTAGATTCCCGGGCCGTTCTACTCTCAACTGTGCTTGATATTTCTATGTCTTGCACTCGTAAAATGTAACAACTAACGCAAAATGTGACAATCTTGGGCACAACATTAACCCGAAATGTAACAACGTTTGACGCTCTGAAGAA